GCACCTTTCTCCCCAGATAGCTGCAGGCTATAGGGGTTCTATATAACTTCTCAATGGTGTGGCTCTGGATTGGCGTTGTGGTTTTGCGGGTGCTGCTGCCGTGCTGATGCTGGTGCAGGCGCAGGTGCTGGCTCTGGATCGGCGTTTTGGTTTTGCAGGTGCTGCTGCCGAGCTATGCTGGTGCAGGTGCAGACGCTGGCTCTGGATCGGCGTTGTGGTTTTGCAGGTGCTGCTGCCATGCTGATGCTGGTGCAGGTGCAGGTGCTGGCTGTGATCGGCGTTTTGGTTTTGCGGGTGCTGCTGCTGTGCTGATGCTGGTGCAGGTGCAGGTGCCGGCTCTGGATCAGTGTTTTGGTTTCGCAGGTACTGCCGTGCTGATGAGGTGCTGGCTCTGGATCGGCATTTTGGTTTTGCCGCTGCTGCTGCCGTGCCGATGCTGGTGATGGATCGGTGTTTTGTTTAGCCGGTGCTGGTGCCGTGCTGGTGCAGGCGCTGGCTCTGGATCGGCCTTTCGTTTTGCGTCATGCCAGGATTGACATCATGTCATGCCAGGGATGACATCATGTCATGGCATCGTGTCATGCCAGGTGACATCACATGTCATGGCATTGATGACCTGATGTCACGCCAGGGATGACATCATGTCATGTCAGGGGTGACATCATGTCATGTCATGCCAGAGATGACATCATGCCATGCCAGGGACGACATCATGTCACGCCAGGGGTGATGTGCCGTCATGTTGTGCATGACACAGTGTTGCGCAGCCATGCTTATCATGTCGTCTGGGCAGCTTTGGCTGGTCCTTGCCGATCTTGCAGTTTTACGTGCATATTGGTGGACCGTCCGTGGCGTGTCCTTCAAACCTATACACCCGCTATCTGGGTCTATGCGGGTGTATATCTTACCAAGAACAAGAGCGGTTGAAAAGGCGATTTGGCGGCCGACTTCTGCAGGCTATGAACTCAACGCCAATCCTTTGAAACCTTTTGAAGGGCTAGGAGGTTGTTGGCTTCCATGACCTCGCTGGTACCATGGAGACAGCGAAGGGGGCTCTCAAGGATGTGAAGGAAACCATGGCGCGCCGACTTCGAAAACCAGCTGGTGGTAGTGCTCCTTTGAGGAGGGGAGAAAAGGATGGAAACCCTGGAGACCAATCCGTTCTGGAGTGAACTTCGGTCTTTCGGTGAAGGTGGTTCCATTACCTCCTTTCAGTCTCCACCGCCGACAAAACCGGATCAGGGCAGAAAGGAGAGCTTCACGGAGCAGGCGTGGCGATGCTAACCCTCGTGGAGGAGCTCATGGGCCCACCAGCTCGTTACGTCCGAGGTTTGGCACCTGAACTACCAGGATTCTGGAAAGATCAAGGGTAGGATCAACATGCTGGAACTCTTGGAGGGAACGATCCGTGACACTGAAAGGTACAAGATGTCCAAGTTCGCGGAGGTGAAGTTGGAAACAAACCACTGTTGAAGCGCAATCGGCGCTTAGACAGCTGGGCAGTGGAGCCACGGAGGGCAGCCCACGTCACTCCCAAGGCCTACGATAAGGAGATCTGGGCAGTTGCATGGTGGGGGATTGGAAGACACTTGTGCCGCCGGTCATGAGGGACCCGTGTACGGCCGGCAGCCAATGGTGGGATGCGGTGATGGGCAGTGTGTTTGAAGAATATCAACAATGGCTTCGCGTACGTCAAGCCGCGGACTGCTGAATGCTTTCCCCACAACGTTCGAGACAGAGGTGCTGGCCAACAGGGCGACCGGAAGCATGGACATCATCTTCGCAATCTTCGTTCGATATCAGCCCGGAGGACTGGGAGAAAGAGCCCGCCTTCTTCAGCAACTTTTGTGAACACAATAACGCGCCTCAGGCATTGGTTGGATGAGATGCAGCAGCAGCTCTGATGCTTGAAGAGGGCGGAAGAGCTGCAGGTGTCTACGCCCGATCCTAGGTTGTTGGTGGATAAGACATGAGACTTCTGCACGGGCAGCGTTCTGATTGAGTTACTTCGCTGATGCACTTCAACAATGGCCTAGAAAGGGTTAAGGGCAGAAGGATTGTCCAGAGCCGAGATCCAAGTGGATGATGAGCCACCACAAGGGGAGTGGGAGCAGCTTTAAAGCAGGGGTGCGAACCCTCTGAGTGCGGAGCTGAGGCTGATCGAAGATGGAGAAGGTGAGCTGGAGAACCAGGCTTTCATCAAGGCGCTCACGCAGGAGGTTGAGGAAATCACCGGACACGACCGCGAAGACGGTGAAGGCTGGAGGCGGTGGAAGCAGCGACTTCGCAAGGCCTCTTGCCAAACGCAGATGCACTCTCTTGCTTCCCCAGCAGTGCAAAGAGTGCGGTGCACTCACGTCGGACACCCGGGCAGTAGACCTGGTGATGCCCAACAGAGCTGAGGAGTGTGGATCCCAGCCAAGGCCTTTCCAGAAAGGCACTATAGGACACCCCAAACGTCCAGCATGCAGGCCGCGCTGCGGCCCCAGCAGACTCCGCTGCCAATGCAACAGTGGAAACCTGAAAGGCAAAGGAAGGGTTTCCCAAAAGCCTATGGCGCGCCCCTCAAAAGGGAAAAAGCACACGCATGCCACCCACAGTGGCAAGCACACACTTTTCTCGAGCGAGCCAAGGCTCAAGTGCTGCGGGGTTGAAGAAGCGTGAGCGCATGATTCCAATCACATGCTTTCGCACCCCTTTGTAAGCCAAGAGCCAAGAGCGGTTGAAAGGATGATTGGCGGCCTACTTCTCCACTTTCCACCTCTTCTCAAAGCCCAAGTCACTCGGGTTTCCTTCCCAACTTTTGTCCGGATGTCTTCGGAGTGCTCCTGTTTGCCTCGAGGCTGGAGTTTGTCGGTGACGATGCCAGTCTTGTGGGCCTTCCTGGACTTGGCCGCCTCTTTTGCGGCCTTCGACTTCAAGAATCAGGCGCTGGAGTTTGCCATTGAGGGCTTTGTGCTTTGGTTCCTGGTGGCGCCCATCTTCATCGACTTCTGTATTTTCCTGGCCTCCAGGTGGGGCGGGCAGTCTGAGGCTGAGGTGTGAGCTTTCCAGGAAAGAGAGTTTGGAGCCCCCCAAGTGAAGCAGAGGCAGATGATTTCACCTCTTTGGGACCTTTTCAGGGATAAGCACAACAAGCGTGTGAGCCAGTGTAGGTCCGGAACATCGTGTGTCGTGGCGACTCAGACACATGCAAGGCAAGGCAGACTCAGACACTACATATATATATATATATTTGTTTTATTTTATTTTTATTTTTGTTTTCTCCTTTTTTTCCAGGTACTGCCACAGGGCCTCCACCAGCTTTTGGGACTCCTTGAAGACGTTGGGCCTTTTGTTTCTCGCCATGGCCACCTTTGCTACCTTCGCAGGTGCCTCGGCCGACTATTTGTGAAGAGGTTTGGGAGTACCGACCCTCGCTGCTTGTCAGAGCTGAACCAACTCCATTCACTGGACTTTGTTAGGGCTGTCCAGTGGAGGTTCATTTAGCATAAACGAGTGTATAGCCGTTTGGACGAAATCCTTGCAGCGTCCATTCAGTTCTTGGGGTTTGTTTTGCCTCGGTTTTGAAGCACTACTGAAACACAAACTCGGCACTGACAGGGCAATTTGGTGCTCTCACCAAATGGGTGAAGAACTGTGTCCAAGACATGGGATTCACTATTTTCTTCATGCTCCCCCAAAAGAAGGAATGTTAGTGGTGTACGATCTGAATCAACTGAACCAAATTCCGGTCACGTCGACGTCCAGACCAGTTGAGCATCGCCCAACTCTGATTTGATCCCTTCGCGATTCGTTTGCATCGCTGGACCTGGTAAGAACTGGGAAACCCTTCTGTTGTGCATGTTGGAATGGATTGCGAGCCCCTCAAGAAAGTCACAACGGCTTTCACCGCAAAACAGCGAGTAATGAAAAGGAACAGACTTTGGGAACTCAATGAACATAGCAAAACAGTTTAACACACAGGTGGGCTCAAACAAAAGTTGGGGGCGGCCGATCCCTACCACATGTTCGATGCTCAATCCATCATCAGTTCGCACCATTGAGTGTCTTTCTGGGTTGAAGTTGGTCGACACCCAGAGAGAATACACGAGATACCTAGAAAACAGGGTTCAGGTCGACACCCGGTGTGACCCTTTTAAGTCGGACGCCACGAAAGCAACTGTTGCGTGCCCGAAAATGCCCTGGAATCCAGGTAGCTTCTTGCTTGCCCGACTGATCATCAAGCCGGGGGGAGTCCTGGCATCGATTTTCTGCGACTTTCCGGGTGGCTGCGGCCATCGCCGAAGCTAAGAGCCTCCAACCTAAGAGCGGCCTCCAACCTAATGACAGATTTCGTCACCAGTTTCCCATACAACTTCAAAAGTAGGGAAACTAGACCGCCAGCCCTCCTTTTCCGGAGCAGACCTGCCCAGCTGCTCCACTGGTGCAAAGTGCAAAACGTTGGGAGTCAAGCTGTGAAGCTTTGGTACGGTCTGGATGACCCTGGATGACGGGAAGATTGCTTTCCAAATCGCCGCAGGGGTCCTGTGGCAACCTGCCCATCAGGAGATGTCCTGGTTCGTGCTGGACTCTTTGCAAGCTTCTGGGGCGTTGTGGCGCTCTGCCATTTTCTCTACAGATCCAAAGGACAAGGTTTCACGAAATGCCCGCTCTCATGGTGGAGTTGAAGCTGGCTGCAGCTGAACTGACATGCGAAGGAAAAGGTGGGTACAGTAGGGGCTGCCTTTTTCAGCGCGTTGCGGGAGTTCCTTCGATCTTAAAACTAGCCATGCGTGTGGGAGGGCATGTGAGCCCGTTCCAAATACATCGATGCGTCTCATGGTCACCCCAAGAGCTGAACTGCGTCCTTCGTCTTGAACTCACCACTTCGTCGGCAGTACCGTGTTGATCGGACTTGGGCAGGGTCACATCTCCAGACAAACTGGCACACGGATTCCGCCACAAAGGCACTACAACGTCACAAAAGCCGAGACTGAGCCCAAACTGGCGCCCCTAAGGCATGAACCAGTCGATGGCCCGAAACAATGAAGCGGAAGAAAGGACCGGGCGTCGATGGTCCGGGCACCGTCGCACGGTCCGCAACCGGTTCCGGTTCCGGTCGAGCCCCGTCCGTCCGTGCCAGTCGGTGGGGATTCTGCCGGAACGACTGGCAACGAGCGCAGCCGTGTTTGTAAGCCAAGCTTTAAAGAAGCCCCGGGGGGGACTTGCGGCACAATTGGAAGGTAAGTGGCTTTGGAACGAGAGGCATCACTCAAATGGCATCAGTTTGCGCTTGAGAAAGGTGGGGATTTGATATTTCCAGGGTATTATTTTCCTGATTTGCGGGTGACACTCACGCATGAAATGGTCACATGACCACCATTGACAACCTTTCTTCTTCTCCAAGATTCGTGGTCACATGCCATCGAAACCATGGTGATGTGTGAAGCAAGTGATTCGGTCTTTTTCGGATACCAGTGGCCTCCACCCTAGAAGCAATGGCCTCCAACCTACTAGCGATGGCCTCCAACCTACTAGCGATGGCCTCCAACCTACTAGCGATGGCCTCCAACCTACTAGCGATGGCCTCCAATCCTCTTTTGGGCCGCCTTCCTCAATGATCCGCCACCGACACACGCCCATCGGGAACCGGAAACAAAGCGCTTCGGCGTCGCTGCCGGGGTGGTGAGGACGGACGCGATGTTTGGAGAGATGGACTACTTGGCACACTCCGTGTGCCACTTCATGGCAGGTCCGGGTTGGTTGGGTTTCTTGGGGTCCAACCAGGGATGGGTTTCTACGGCATAAATGATCCATAGATGGACATGTGTGCATGTATGCCTCAAGATGCTAATTCATTGTTTGTTGCTTAACATTTAGTCCACTTGCCCTCTTCCACCTCTGGTTTCTTTTTCCTGGCTACTGGTGATGGAGCCTCATCCGCCATCAAGTCTTTTTGTAGCTTATCAGATGCAGAGGTTTTCTTCATCAACACGACACACGCCTGTGACCTGGACGGGACAGTCTCCATGCTGAGTCTTGGAGTTCTTGGATGGCAAATGCAGATAAATGTAGTGTTTGTGAGACATGAACATGTCATCTTCCAGGAAACCAAACAACACCCATTATTTATTTACTATGATTTATTGGAATCTATTTGTTTAAAAATCTCAACATTCTCATCGGCTAGATATCCAAAAATCTATCTTTGAAGACACGGTAGAGTTTTGTAAGCGGGCGTTGTTTTGGAGTGATTCATGAACCTTTCTCCGCTCTTCTCGTGAACTTGCTGTCCCTTTTCGCTCCGGACCCCCCACCCTTCCCCTATTTCCACTCTTCGACCGGATGTGTCCACCTCCTGTGTCCTCGTCCTCCAACGCCAGTCGCTGGTTTTGGAACATCGCAGGCGCACGGGAAGATCATTTGCACGATCTCTTGCTGCATCCCAACGTGCAGTACACGGAGGAGGTCCCTGTCTTCTTTCTTTCCGGTCCCACAGGGGTGGGGAAAGCGCGCAGCCAAACACCCCGTGGACCCGTGGACCCGGGACGTGACCTTGCGTTCTTTTGGGGAGAGACAAGACGAACATGTCGGCACTGGCGGGCACGCCGGACGGGACATGGACATTTCAATGTCGTGGGTTCGGATGGGGACATCGACAGCGGGCGATGACTGAGACGGTCTGCTTTTTTTCGCGGGAGAGATGAAGGAGGCTGAAGTCTCACTAGCAGTTTATATACTGTGGTGGTATGTATGACGTACCTTCCCGTTGTTTCAGAATCAAACGTTTTGCTAGAGCATTTCGTCTCATTCATGCAGAGGGAACTTCACTGAACTGCACTGCAGGAAGACTACACACGTTATGCAGATCGCTTTGCAAGTGCACACAGTAGATGAGTAAGATATTGCAAGGTTGTGTGAGTGAAAGGGAATGCTTGAAGATGAATCAACTTTTTCACAACTGGTAGACTTTAGCATTTTTGCAAACCTTCCTTCGAAGTTAGCAGCATGGCACAGTTTGAAGTGCTGCGTGGTGCTTGCGCTTCCGCCTTGAAGATCCAGTTGCAAAGTGGTGCTGCAGTGTCTGCCGAGAACGATGCTTTGGTCTCGAAGACTCAAAACGTGGAGATTGGAGCAAGTCTAGGAAGTGGAGGGCTTCTGGGTGGCCTCTTAGGAGGTGCTGCACGGAGTTTCTTGACCAATGAGTCCTTCTTCCTGCAGACCTTGAGATGTCGAGGGGGTACCGGAGAAGTTCTGGTGGCCCCACAGGAGCAGGGGGACATTGCAGTGGTCCGTCTTGGTCAAGATTTACCCGGAATTCTGGTGACTCAAGGCGCTTTCCTATGCTCTGAGGAGGGTATTGAGATAGAAACCCGAATGCAGGGTGCTACCCAAGGCTTCTTCGGAGGAAGTGGATTCTTCTTGATGCGTTGCCGTGGTCGCGGTTGTGTGGGAATCAGTTGTACTGGCTCCTGCATCAAGTACGAGCTGCAAGCTGGGGAAGCTCGCGTGGTGGACAACGGACACCTGGTTGCCTGGGGCGATGCTGTGAGCTACACGGTGGGCATGGCATCGAACTCTCTCTTTGGCACGGTGGCCAGTGGCGAAGGCCTGATGTGCACCTTCGTGGGTCCCGGTCCGGTGTGGATCCAAACTCACAAGCCCACAGGATCACAAGGTCCGCAACGGGCGAAGAAGCCCAAATCTGCAGGTCCGCAGGATCTCATGGTATGTGCCCTCTTTGCGTGTGTGGTGTTCATGATCTTTGCCTTCCTTTTGATGGTCTTTCTCGGCAACTTCGACGACGGACCTCGGAAATCACGCTTTCAGATTGACCTATGAATGTGTGACACGGAGCCTGTTGGCATTTTCTTGCTTGACACAGGCTTCAACCGTTTCCAGAAAATAGGTCAAGCTGGCTGAAGCCAACCCTTCAAAGTCTTGATATCTTGAACAGCTTGTTGGAAGACTTCGGCTGACACGGCGAAGACAGTTCACGACTTTGTTCGCTTCAAAGGGCCGTGTGTTGGCAAAATCAGTGCTCTTTGGATGAGGCCGTTGAAAAAAGATGATTCAGCCCGCGAAAACAAAGGACCAATACTTAAGTCTCCCTAAGAATCTATGAATCTATGAACCAAATCAATAGTGGGAGCGTGAGCTATCCTGCGTCCTAAGTAGTAGCCTACTTGTGGTTAGTAGCTACCTCTTCTACTAGCTAGCCTACCTCACCTCTACACGGCCTACCCCCCCTTAACGAAAGGTGATGGTAAGGGTCAATGGCAGCGAACACCGGAGGGTCGAAGACGAGTCGTCACCACACGTCCGGACGCTCTCGTCCGGAGGACTCCGTTTTGATATTCGACACCCTTCTCAACATTATTGGAATTGTTAACGTTTATTTATTTTATATTTTTAGCCCGGGGGGTAGGCCGCTAGTAGAGGGAAGAGGTACTAGGTAGATAGTAGCTCAAGTAGCTACTACCTTGTACGCAGGATAGCTCATGCTTCCTTGAAGAAGCGCTAATAATTTGGTTCCTAGACTTCTAGGGAAACTTAATCTATATGCTTCACATCTTCATGAATTTCGGTTTCATTTCGTTCGAACAACTTCCGTATATAAAACTCATCGGATTTCGTCGGATTTCCATGGCACATTTCCCAGCGGGATTGCCAGGAGATCAAAATGCTTCGGCTTCAAGGAGAGCTTGCAAGCAGCTGGGAAAGCAGAACATCACGGGTCGCTGAATCCCCAAGAAGAGGTGGATTGATCATTTGCTGGATGAATCTGGACGAACATCCACCAGAAATCGGGTCCAAGATCGGCCTTGCTTTTGGGATTTTTGATGCGGATTTTTTTCCGCAGACCCGACCCGGGAGAGATGGAGAGAGGGGCTGATGGACTGGACCCGGAGAGATGGCACCATGGCACTGGTGGAGATCAGTTGCACCGGGAGATTCTGGAGACGCGGAGACGCGTTCAGCGAAAGCTCCAAATGACCCGTGGCAGGAGAACACGTGGCTACTAGCTACTAGGCTTTCAGGTGTGAATTGACTCCGGTATCCATGCACCTTTTTGGTATTCACGTGCTGTCCCCACCACGTCGCACTCACTTGATCACAGTAGACTCAAGAGATTTACCAAAATGTGTTGCTCCTTTTTGCAGGATTTACGCACATGTTGTTCAAAGGCACATCACTAGAAACCTGAAAGAACCCCTTCGAACGAAACCCCCATGTGTCGAGTCGTCTTGAGTCGAAACCCAGGCATTGTCCGCGTCCATGTGGTCCGCCTCACGGTCGCCTTTGGCGTGAGCCGCACGGCGTGAAAGGAACCGCGTGAAAGGCGAAAGACACGACGTGGGTGGAACTGAATGGAACAGAGCCATGCATTTGGTGGCCTCCCCGTTGATCTCTTTGTTCTTTTGCCTCTCTGAATGGAACAGAGCGATGGACATACACAGAGCATACCCGATGCCGTCGGCTTGCTCCGGAGTCCCGAGTTCCACGGGTTGGCCCTCGAAACCGGTGGCGTTGATGGCGACAAGCGCCAGGGGGATGTGAATGCAAACGGACTTGGTGGAGGGTCTATCGGTCTACTAGTATCTCCAACAAACGAGTTATTGTTTCATGCAACATGGCCCGGTGGGATTCAATATCCACCAACAGCTAGGGTTTCTCCATTTGGACGGCCATAGAGCTTGTTGGTTTTTGAGAGTTTGCTTTTGCTCTTGGCTTTCTCAGTCTGATCTTCCGCTTCTGGGTTTTCTCCCCAGCCAGCAACTCTAGCTGCCGTGAAAGACATCGACTGTTGCGTGACATCCCAACTTCCGTGCGTGCGTTGATGTTGGGCAACGCCAAAGTGCTACTTGGCTCAGGCTGCCTCTTGTACTTTCGCTTGCTGACGGCTCTTGCTGAAGCACAGGGCGAAGTGGAAGACGAGGCACACGACGTCCACGAGAGTGGCAAAGATTTTTTCACCTCTTTTGGAGGCGACCAGATCGGTACCTTCTAAGATAGATGGGCGAGCATCCGCTGGTCATAATCGGTTTGAGTTTAACTCATCCGCTGGTCATATATTCATGATGGAGCAAAGGGCATCGCTACTAGTAACAAGTGCATCGCTTCTAGTAACAAGTGCCTTACTAGTAGTAACAAGAAGCGACTAGTAACAATATATAAATTATAATTCAATTAGAATCAAATTTAATTCATCTGAATTTGGTGTCAATCGGGTCTGGGATTCGTGTGCTTCCTGCGCTCCAACTCATCGGCACTTCGGTCGCACATAGGAGTTGGTCCAAATCATTTTCCTCTACGCCCGGTTACAGTCGCTCCTCTATGAGGCGCCACCGTTGGCGTTGGAGGTTGGGACGGTTGTAAAGCATGGTGAAGCTGCATGGGACTCGGGGGATTTGATTGATCCTGAAAAGATTGCCATTGGTTCGTGACTCTTAGACTCTTGGGACCAAAGTCTTAAGAGATCAGGTACCTCCAGACGAAAGGCTTTTTGATGCCCTCCGCGAAGCATGCTTGAGTCAGTGTAACTGGAGCCCATCCGCTTTGGATGGGATTTAGTCTTCTTGCCCACTGGAAGTCTTTCTGATGGAATTTCTCAGCTAACTTTAGAACTTAAGACATTCTTTTGTGGATTTAACACGTCTTCCTTCTTCCATCTCCGGCGAAGGACCCCTAGCAGCTAGCAGCTACCACTTGCTCCGTCACAGATGATCGAATCACTGACCTCCAAAGAAGAAACGCTCATCAAAAATCGGAAGAAACGTTGCTTCTTGTGGCTTTTTACGGACGGCCCGCGCTCGAGCCGGACCAGCCGGGACCAGCCGGGACCAGCCCGACGACGTCCGTTGGCGGGTCCAGCCCCCCTTCGTTTCTGGGTCCAAGCGGGTCCAACGTGTGCGGTTTGTGCAGGAAGAGATGGAGCTGGTGGATAGATATGCCGGGAGAGCCTGTTGATTGGACACATGGGACATGTGGCACATGTGGCAGTTGGTCTGGACTCCATGCAGTTGTACAGCATGTGGCTTTTGCAGCCACACACAACCGAAGACTAATACAAGTGTTATCATCATACAACTGACCTCATTTCTTAGCTATATCAAGGGATATTGAATAGTGGTACCCGCTGTCGTGGCAACAAGTTCAGAGCTCGGTTACTTGACACAGCCTCAACATCAAACAGAACAGCCAAAAAGAGTGCTGATGCCAATGTTTCAATCTTTTCTGGGTTGTTTGTCTCAATCAAAACCAGTTTCTTGTGTGAAGTGACGAAGTGGAGGTGCTTCCTCAGTGAATCGGAAGAGTTGTAGGATGCGGTGGTGATATCTCATCCAGACAAATATGGCACTGTAGGCTAGCGGAGATCAGCAACAGATCCACGTTCCAAGCTGCATGAAAGGAAAGTCTGCTTCAAAAAACATGAGGGAGACCACGGGAACGCTGAAACTTGCACCTGCAGGAGATTCGAAAACACAAAGACCAGTGGGGCCTTGCCAACCCAGCAGGACATTTCTTGTCCTACCTTGATGTTTGGGAGTCTTATCCTGTCGATCAGTCCAATGGGCAGAAAGAAACTCTTCGAAGGCATCCAAAACACACCATTTGTGACCGGACCCTGACCCTGCTGATCATTGCTTCTTCGGCTTGGCGGTGGTACGTTTGTTTGGACCACGGGGAGTCTAATTGGGTGAGCCTGCTTTCGTGTGCTCGGGATGCACACTGTATATATATATATATGTACACAGACCATATAGTATGTCATGTATGTAGATCGTATATATAACTATAAAACATGTAACACACACACATATATATATATAGTATGCATATATATATATAATTCACATACATACATACATACATACATACATACATACATACATACATACATACATACATACATACATACATACACACATACATACGCATACCTTTACATTCTTTTGGATGGCTCGGACTCGCCGGATCCTAAAGATGCAACAAACAACAAAACGATTGCCTTTTGGGTCGGTCTCATTGATGTAACGGCTAGGCGGCGCCACAGCGACACCAAGAGAACCAGATGACAAATCTACAGATCGGCGCTGCAGACTTTGAAGTTCTCACCATTTCTCACCCTACAATCTGCCCACCTTTCCCCCTCGCCCAGATGTGCGTCAGCCGCGAGAGCGAGAATGACGAAGGCGCGGCGACATGTGATGCGGAAGACGCGACGACCAAGTTGAGACCATGTGATGAAGTGTTCGTTGTGTCGACTCTTAATTGGTTGCTGCTTCTCACTGTTCCAAACCCTAGAGGGCCTAGAGTGCGGATGGACGCCAATCTGCATGGAGTGTTCCTCAGTTTGATCGTTCAGACATCAGGCCCTGGAGGCCCTGATGCACATGTTGGTTGGGAGATTTGCCACCCAAAAACGGGTTTGCGGATGATCTCTTGCATTCTACAGTGGCTTGTTCCATGAAAATCAAAGACAATGCAGATCTCATCTCGAAGACTCCCGATCCCTTTTTTCGACCGAGTCGACTCCCGTCCCCAAAAAGCCTTCGGACTCGACCGAAGGCGGGGCACAGTACCGTGCCGACGTCCGGCGGCCGAGCACCGTGCGTGACGGCGCGCGGAAGTCTGGCGGAGGTGGTGGAACGATCGTCAGATAGTTGAGACTCAGGGTTTGCTATTTGTTGGAGGTTCCAAGTTGCAATTAGAGATAGATCTATTTAGGATGGAGTGGTTTTCCTGGTGATAGATAGAACAAATACACTTTTTGGGACCATTTATATATATATATATACTCCAGAATGACTAATTTGAGTAGCACTCCAAGTGCTTTTTCATTGCATCCTAAGTCTGCCTTTGCTCTGACTCTTACAACTCCAAAGCCATAGAACAGAAGGAATCCTTCTAGTTCTTTGTGGGCTTGAAACATCTGGCGCATGCAGCTTTGAACCTTGGCCGCTTCTCGCGTTGTTTTGGCTTCTTAGCCCTCAAGCATACTCTCAGCAGTTTGTGTGTATTTCCGCTTTGAACCTCCAGCCATGCGCGAGCTCGTGCACGTTCAGGGAGGACAGTGCGGCAGCTCTTCAAGCAATATTCCATTCATATTATGCCTTTCGACTCTCAGGTGAAGAGGGTTGCAAATGTGTGATTTCAACTTTAGTGAACTGAGGCAACCAGATTGGTGCCAAGTTCTGGGAGGTCATTGCTGACGAGCACGGTATTGACCCAACAGGAGATGGGAGGGGAAACTGCCTCATGTTGCAGAAACGATGTCGAAGGAAGGAGTGCACCAACTGGGAGGTACTCGTAGCATATAAATCTCGGCTATACCAAAATTGATCTAAACTAGACTCTATGCCAGCCAGTGTTTTCTTCTCGAAGCCCATCGCCCTGCCCCTCTGCACGGCTGGTCCATTTCCCAGGAACCTATCATGGCGACTCAGATCTGCAGCTTGACACTTGGCGTGACGGATTCGCCTATGTTCAATTCTGCATTTGAGCATAGCGATTACCTTCAGCAATACCTAGCAGTTCCGGGGTTATGACGCCTTTCCTTGAATTGGTTCAGTTTTTGGATGTTTTTGGACCTCTTCAATGTTGCTTGACTCGAGAAAGCCAAGGAGCGAATCAATGTCTACTTCAACGAAGCAACCGGTGGACGTTATGTGCCTCGAGCTGTGCTAATGGATCTTGAGCCAGGCATGCAAGCAGAGCTTCATTCTTTTTCAACACTGCTGTGCCACGCTGTGCTGTGCCACTGATTGCCACTGTACACATGTGATCATGGCGGCCATGTCGCCGTATCATTGTTCCAGGCACCATGGACAGTGTTCGAGCTGGCCCGTTTGGACAGCTTTTCCGTCCAGACAACTTTGTGTTTGGCCAGACTGGTGCTGGAAACAACTGGGTGACTTGAATTGGAAAACATGAAACGGGTTCCGTGGCGATGGTTAGAGCGCGAAGCCACAAGGGTTCTTTGGACTTGTCTCCACGGACACTTGGACGGACCAAATGCATGGGACGTTTCGGGACGCACTGCAAGTCAGTGCGTGAGTCGGCACTGCAAGGCGAAGGGACACTACACCGAGGGAGCTGAGCTGATTGACTCAGTCTTGGATGTTGTACGCAAAGAAGCCGAAGCTTGGATGTTTTGCTACACCAGACAGTCACCAGTATTTTTTCGTTCATGGTGGATCACCATGCACCATGAGACACCAAAATCATGCCTGGTTTGCCCGGTTTGCGAACTACTAGTCTCCATGATTGGTGGCTCCGAGGAGGGCTGCGATTGCTTGCAAGGGTTCCAACTTTGCCATTCTCTTGGTGGTGGCACTGGTGCAGGCATGGGAACGCTGCTGATTTCCAAGGTGCGAGAGGAGCACCTGAGTCTCCAATAGGCAAGTTTGCTTGGTTTCAGCTGAGGGAAGAGTATGCCAGCACATGGTGAGTCAACATTATGTAATATATATATATACACATATAATATGTATATATCCAAGCTGAACATTGAATGCTCTCAGGTACCCTGATCGTATCATGGAGACATTCTCGGTGATTCCATCGCCAAAGGTGTCTGACACAGTGGTCGAGCCGCATCTTGGGCAAAAAGCCAGGTACTTTACTTTAATTTTGAGCTGGTTGCCTGAAACTTGAAACACAGACCCTTTCAATACATACTTTCTTCAGGTACAACGCCGTGCTGAGCTTCCATCAGTTGGTGGAGAACTCAAATGAGTCCTTCTTGCTGGACAACGAGGCTTTGTACGATATTTGTTTCCGCACTTTGAAGCTCACCACTCCAACCTACGGCGACTTGAATCACTTGGTGTCAGCAGCAATGTCCGGTGTGACTTGCTGCCTGCGCTTCCCGGGACAGCTGAACTGTGACCTGCGCAAGATTGCAGTGAACCTTGTGCCGTTCCCTCGGTTGCATTTCTTCATGACCGGCTTTGCGCCTTTGACTTCTCGTGGCTCGCAGCAGTATCGTGCACTCACTGTTCCAGAGCTCACACAACAGATGTTCGATGCGAAGAACATGATGTGCGCGGCTGATCCTCGCCATGGCCGCTACTTGACAGCAGCTGCTCTCTTCCGCGGCCGCATGTCAACAAAGGAGGTGGATGAGCAGATGCTGAACGTCCAAAACAAGAACTCTTCCTACTTTGTCGAGTGGATCCCAAACAACATCAAGGCATCTGTGTGCGACATTCCACCAAAGGGACTGAAGATGGCCGTGGCATTCGCAGGCAACTCAACTGCCATCCAGGAGATGTTCAAGAGGGTGGCAGAGTACTTCACTGCAATGTTCCGCCGCAAGGCCTTCTTGCACTGGTACACTGGTGAGGGTATGGATGAGATGGAGTTCACTGAGGCTGAGTCGAACATGAACGATTTGGTCTCGGAATACCAGCAGTACCAGGATGCAACTGCTGAAGAGGAGGGTGAATTCGACGAGGAGGAGGGTGAATATGACGGATGACCAGGTGCCTAAAGCACTTGCGATGTCTTCCTTCTCAAGTGTCGACTTGTCTTGCTGTTTGACGTACTGGGGTAAGAAAAGGTCTGTGAGCGCACACAGGAATCTGCGACTGGAATGTCATAACTCAGTTGCTTGATCTGCCTAATGCAGAGGGTTGATTGGAATTTGCATGACGTTAACAATTATTTAGCTACTAGTCATTTTGAATCCATGTGTCAGATTTGGTCGGGTCTGAAGCGCTGTGCCGTGGTCCTTTTGTCCGATAGTGAATATTCTGGAGTCCAGCCGCAGCCATTCTTGCCATGGCCCAGAGTCATCCATTTTTTTTCTAATTTCGCGAACATAGCTCGCGCCCAGTTCATCGCAAAACAGACGTCTGTGTGTGTCCGGTCCAACGTCTCTCGTTGTCGTCAAAGCGAGCTCGCTGAGGTGAACCGCTTTCGCATCGCGCGGCAGCGTGCGGGGCTACTGCCGCTGGGCCGCGATGGTGATGGTTGGAACCGCTGGGTGGGGTGTCTATGGAGAAAGACATAAAAGAAGACAACTCGACAATTTTAGTGTTAGAGATGGTTTGTATTCACTCCTTTTGGGGAGAGAGGTCTGCGCCGGGCACATCCGCCCGACTTTGGGTTTTGAAGTCGTTGGAAGGTGCCCATGGTTCGCCTCATGATTGCTGGACCTCACTTGGAGAGTCCTCTCCACCAAAAATCCAGGTATAGTCAATATAGTGACCCAAACTCGGCCATTGATTGGGAGGCCAATTTGGACATCAGCGAATTGCACATCTGAATCTAGGTACTGTATATATTGGTCATTATAGTGACTATTTGTTGTACACGTTCGTCCTTTTCGCCCCAAACACGCCTCAAGGCGGGCCAGGGCGCCGGGTTCCAAAAGGGCCCAAAAGCGCACCAGGAAGAGTCGACTTAAAGCATCCTTTATGTTTTCCCCGATCTGAGGGATTTGCAAGAAAGGAGTTTTCAAGCAAGAAGACCTCTGTTTGCCTCAAGTGAGCAGACTTCAAGCAACGTCAACCTTCAACCGACCTCAGCGTTTCTTCTTGTTTGGTTGGAGTAACATGAAGCAACAGGCTTCCCCGCGGGGTCGCCGCCAGGATTCGCCCGCGTGCCGCTGGGGACTTGAGCGAGGAGGTGGGGTGAAGAGCTCGAGAGATGAACGGGTTGAGACGAACGAGTGGGAGAGTTCCTCCATCAAGGAACTACTTAAGCTACTAGTAACAAGTGCCTCGCTAGTAGTAACAGGTGCCTTACTAGTAGTAACAAGAAGCTACTAGTAACAAGTGCCTCGCTAGTAGTAACAGGTGCCTTACTAGTAGTAACAATGTTTGCTATTAGGAACAAGTGCCACGCTAGTAGTATCGAGTTGGGTCCATGGAACTCACCATCTACCTCTTTCTTCCGATTGCAATCTTGGCGATGGTGATTGCCTCCTACTACGGACCACAACGAAGAAGAAACTGCCGACAAGTACCTTGACTCATGAAAGGAAGCCCACAATCCCATCAACTAGGGGCAGTTGAGGGGCATTTGTGGATCGCCATCCATCCATCCATCCATCCATCCATTCATCCATCCATCCAACGCTCCATCGCTCGCACCGGCCACCGTGCTCTGCCCACGGCGCATCCGACACAGGGTGGCCAGTTTGTGCCGCAGACGAGTGACATCGTGCTCCGGCGGCAGTTGGATGGGACTTTTTCCGCAGGGTGATGCAGCCAATGGCTTCTGTGAACAAAGACAACCGGAAGTCCAGTTGCTTCTTGTTTGTAAAGCCGAGATGAGCTATTTTTCTTTTTTCGTGAGGTGTTTCAAGCGCATTTGTTTTGTGACAAAGGTGTTGAGGGGAGGGAGGACACGCAGGTGGTGTCCATAGCACTTCGGAAGCTGTTTGGAGGCTGGGGCTCCGCCGTTTCTTCAAGCGCAGGCACTAGGACTCTAGGGCCCGGAAACCACCTGGGTTCCTGCGGTGCGTGTGTTTTCTTTCATTTCTACTGGGGCGTATCCTTTTTCACCACTTGCGCCACTTCCGTTGGTTCCGTTGGTGACCAAAGACTCAGACTGAGCCAGGCACATCCAATCCTGCGTGCAAGATCGTTGTTTGCGTCTTGGGTGCTGGAGCCCTCGGTCAAGGCTCTTTTTCGTGGGGAATCCGCATGTGACGGCGAAGGTCAAGGCTCCTTGAGTACTGCGAAGAGGGTGTGTTTTGCCTTCGTTGGGATGGGTGCCCATCCCACCACCGATTCCAACATGACATTACTGAGATGGGCACATTTTCGCACATGGCATGATGGCATGGATTTGGAGACGGAATGCGCACCAATAATTCCCAAGGAATCCACAGCAAGACCTCTCAAGGCCCTTGCTCTGGGCGCACTCAGGTGCCTCCCTTGCCCAAGGCCGTCCAGTGGGAACTCGGAGCTGAACTGATCTAGAAGTTATGGGTGATTTTGTTACATCCTCAGTTTTTGCAGCCCCATGCAGCTTTGGAGGATAAGCTGATAGATACTGTAAGCTTTTGGAAACAAGCGATGGACATTCGCTTGGAGGGAATAGGATTTCTATTGATTTCTTTTGCAAATCAACTACCGTGCAAACGATCTTAGGGAGCTGAGCCCTACCGTGTCATATGCGAACCTCTCAGTTTTCTCCTGGAACCAGGAGGGCATAGGGGTCACATCTAGAATCTAACAGGGTCAGTCTGGATGGCTCAGTGGATTTTGCGTCACGTTTGGAGCTTGGCGAATTTCGTGGGCTTTGGCGTGGCCTAAACAGTCAAGTCATGCCACAACGACGCGGGATCGAGGTGGTCGGTTGAATCCAGACGGTGTGGGATCTGTGGGGATGGTCCAACGGTATGTGTTCAAAGCCACCAGTGTCCCCTGGCACATCATGCATTTCAATACTGGTCTCTTCCCTCACATCATGTCAATAAGACTTCCCGAACCCAAGAACTTCGCCGGCGATTTCCAGAACACGGAAGGCCACTGGTCTTTGTTCGAGGGTGCACGAGTCCCCATTCCAGCGTGAGAGGTCGGCATTCTTCAGTTCCAGGATCTTTTCGTCGACTGGGATTAGCTTGAACATCAACCAGAATGTTTTGTGCGAAGAAAAGCACGTTCTGTTTAATTTAAAACTTATTGTCTCTCCAAGCACGGGCCAACCAATGGCAAATGGGGAGTGAAACCGTGTGCAGAACACCGCGCAGAACCGCCTGGAACCGTGGAAACGGGGAGACCCTTATCGGGACCAGTATGGATCGATGAACACCGCCATGATGGGTCACCTGCAGCGTCACCTGCAGTGGAGCAGTCACCTCGAAGTCTTTTCACCCGGAAACGCTGTGGTGTCCGTCCCTGGACGGAGACGAAGATCCCGCAGCCGATGGAGCGCCCGATGGATCCGCGACCAGGTGGTCCTCAGCATGTTGATGGAGGCCTGTCACCTTCCCATGGGCCAAAAGTGGGGCTACCACGAGCGCGCCGGGGCGCCCCAACCGCGGTGCACGGGTTGGGTGCGGTGCACCGAGCGGTGCACCCTGTGGATGTTTTGTGGAGGCCGTGTGGATGTCGCGGGCAACGCATGTCATGGTGGAGGGTCATTCAGCATCCCACGATTCTGTGAGCATCCAGTGTGACAGGTTTGTTGTTTCAGGTTCTTGTTTCAGAACGAACTCGAAAGCGAGCGATCGGGGTGTATGATTTGCCAAGCCAATCCAGTTCGGATCCAGCTAGCACCAGTTCGGCTTCGCAGGAGAAACCCAACATGTTCCACCCAGTTCGCGTCCTCAACGCACCCGGTTTGGATCTGGTCCATCCTGGGGTTTCGCTGAAATTGAGTGGATTTGTATGTTCAAGGGACCTGGATTGGGATTGCACTGCTTTGTTGCACCAAAACGGCGGTAGCGACGAGGTCCTTACGATCATCTCCTCGATTTGTGCGGCTACTGGGCAGGGTGGGTTATCGATGCGGATGGTGATTGGTTTTGAAGGATGAACGATGATGAACGCGGTGTTTGCTGATCTCATGGCTTTTTCTTTGTGAAAATGATGTTCATGGCTGGTCCAATCGAGAAACCGTGTGCCCACTGAAACTGTGCTGCATGAATCGGCATCAAGTCGTCGCTTGGTAGCTGCTACGGGTGAAGGTCTGTGAAGGTTTGATGCGAAGCTTTCGTAGAGTCGTAGAGTGGCTCAGAACTTGCATGAAAAGTTGAAAAGATCCCTCTATATCCCTCTGAGGGAGGGATCTTGCCGGAAGAAATGGGTCCACATGGTAAAAGATGGGAACCCGATGGGTCTGTCACACCCGCGAGACAAATATACATATATATATATAACTGTATATAATATCCATGTAGATTTTGGCGATATATATATATATATACACATTTTTTTGGTTATGTCGTAGTAGTATATATATAAGCACCCCCGTCCGAGGGCCTCCAGCCTTCGGATTTGCTCCGGTCCGACCGGTCCAACTAAGAGCAAGGACGCTACGTTTGGGGCTCCTGGCCTTACTAGGAGCAAGAAGCTACTAGGGGATACGATCAAGATGACATCGGTTGGGTGTGATGGTTCCCTCTTGATCTTTGGGGTCGTGAACTATGCTTCTGGAAGATGGTGTCAGGATTCATCTCGTTGAGATGCTTGTCGATGTAGATGAAACCGAGCTTGGCTAGGGCACCAGGAGAGACCCCAACAGTGCCAGTTGGTTTGGTTGAAATCATAAATAATGCTGCCAATTCTTCCGCCAAGCCAACTAGCCTATTCTTGGCAGATTTGAGACCACATCCCAATGGATACAAGGCACCGATTTCCACATATTCCTTTCTTTGCATGGCTTTGAGTTCTCCAATCTGAGCAACACATGCTCCACATGCGGGGCCACTTGGAGCGTGTGTGCCCGGCGGTTGCGGGTCGCTGAGGATGCGCTGGATCAGCTGACTCACCTCAGCGGGCTCATCATGAGACCTGTCTCCTT